AATTAATACGAACAGCGTTGCATGGTTCCTGGGGTGCACTTTTAATGATATTAAATTTTTTATTTTATATATTTTCATTTTTTTTTTTATATAAATTATATTAAATCATATTTAATTTCAAAAACGTCAGATCTAATAATTTTCACAATTTATATAGCGGTACAAGCTTTACATATTTGACAATTGTACAATATCGTATGGTACATTGAATTATGGTATTATTAGAACATTATGGAAAATTATATTGCGACATTATTAACGCAACACGTTATTAGCATAGAAAATTTAAGTCCTGAAACTAGATTCTAAACGTGTTAAAATATCGTCTAGAACAAATAGTAAAAATGCACGGAGAAAATTCGTGGAAAAGTTCAGCGAAATATCGCATGGTCCATTTAATAGCTCGCAATTAGATTCGCTCTATTATCGAGGTTCCATTAAAAGGACCGCGAATAGGTCTCCCTAACGTTTGTTATTCTTCGGATTCGCCGCGTTCGGATCGACCACTAAATTTCGCGCTCGGCGACCGCAATTTCGGTTAGATCTTGTTCGACTTATAAATTGCGGCCCAGTGCTCGATTTCCGTCGCGGTAGACTGTAGACGAACGACAGACACTATTTCTGTCGTCGATCAGGCTAGCGCGGTGCCATGCCGGTTACCATGGGCTCGCCGATTCCCGTGCCTTTCCTGTTTCTTTTCGAACATAATTCGTTTTACATTCGTCGAATAAGACAATAATAATCCGTCCGCTCAAATATAAACGGAACGAAAGAATTCTTTTCATTCGTCTATTTAATTTCCTTCAAATTTGCGTTCTTTTATTCTTTATTTTTTTATTATTTATTATTATTTATTCTTTTATTCTTTCTATTCTTCTGTCTTGTTTGTTTTTGTATAGAAAAGAGAACACTTAACGTGTCGTATTCGATGAATATAGGATGTATTAAATTGTTTTCTTAAAAAATAAATAAAATGAAAGATTACGAAGTCGCTAGCAGTCGCGAGTACTCGCTAGCAGTCGCGAGCAGTCGCGAGTACTCGCTAGCAGTCACGAGCTGTCGTCAGTAGTCGCTAGCAGTCGCGAGCAGTCGCTAGCAGTCGTGAGCAATCGCTAGTAGTCGCGAGCAGTCGCACTGGAACGAGTAGTCACGAGTAGTCGCGAGCAGTCACTAGCAGTCGTGAGTAGTCGCGAGCAGTCGCTAGCAGTCGTGAGAAATCGCTAGTAGACGCGAGCAGTCGTGAGCAATCACGAGCAGTCACTAGCAGTCGCGAGCAGTCACGAGCAGTCGCTAGTATTCGCGAGCAGTCGCGCTGGAACGAGTATTCGCGAGCCGTCGCGAGCCGTCGTGAGTAGTCGCTAGCAGTCGCTAGCAGTCGCAAGCAGTCGCGCTGGAACGAGAAACGTCCCCGGATTCTCGGGCTGATATTTCGCGAGCTGCCCGCGAATTCGGGACAGGTTGCCGCACGGATTCCGCGGTCCAGATATGCTGAGACGAATAATCCCCGTCCCGAAAGCGATGGGGCGAGCTTTTTGAAAGCCGGCCAGGGAATGCGACTTCTTTCGATTATTATGAAGTACGGGATTTGAACGGACGCTCCGTAAAGATCTATTACCGGGTATTTTTAGGAAAGTTTGCAATACCATCTCTCACTCTCCCTGTCTCCCGCCCCCCCCTCTCTCTCTCTCTCTCTCTCTCTTCGGCTGACGATTGCGAAACGTATACTTCCGTTCGAAGTTTCGAGGCGCGACATGATTAGTCGGAGTGTTCGACACGCATAATCGAGAGAAACTTCATCGCGATCGAAAGCGAATATTCGCGTTGCGATCTCGTGTTCCTCACACAGAATACTGTGTAATTTCACAGTGATTTATGTACATGAACAAACGGACAGCGTCGAATTTTTAAACAATTTGGTATACGATTTCTCACGAAGTTAGATTATTTTTAATTATTTCCGATTCAATTACAATGGTTGCGAGAAACCATTAAATTATTATGCAACATTATTATTATAATCGTATCTTCTCTTCCCAAATTGTCCATTTTTGTGCGCAATCTGTGCGTCTATTCATCTGTGCGTCGCTTCCTGAATAATATGAATTGACTGACGACGATCTTCGCCGCCGTTCTCGGCCAATAGCGATCGAGTGCCGCGGCAGTGGGGTAGCTAAATAAATGTGGGGGTGGGGAGAATATAAGCGCAAAGGCGTCTTCTTGTCGCGCGAGGACTATACGTTGTTCCGCGTACAATAATGTCTCCCTTACTGACGCTCAGATTGTCCACTAAAATGGATAATTTGGGAAGAGGAGATACGATTATTCGAGCCTTGCGGCTCGTTTTTATAATTGTGGACAATTTATAACTATAAAAATAAACCGCAAGGCTCGAATAATCGTGTCTCCTCTTCCCAAATTGTCCATTTTTGTGCACAATCTGGGCGTCAATTAAAGAGACATTACTGTAACTTGCACGCTAATTGCAGCCTCCGATATTATATCGGAGAGGGAAAAATTAGGGTAGCGATAATAACCGAGGGAAATGGACGAAACAGTATTAGAACATTGTTTAAGAATTTAGTAACGAATCTAGCATCGGTCTACCTGTGATTCGGAGCCGAAGAGCCGCGGAATTCTTGCAGCCACGATTACACCATCCGCGCGCGGATTCTAATTCCGGATTCAACGATTCTATTGCTAGCGTGTCGTGACATCGATTAAACCGGCCGCCTATTAATTAAAACCGCGATTTCGAGGGAGCAAATCGATCCGGTGATCACCGCCGACGAACTTTCACGATCCGGACGACCGAACGAACGATTACCGGCGAGCCTCCGCCTGTAATTAATACGATCTGGAATATCTAACTCGTGATTCGACTCGTATCGGATTTATTGTAATTGATAAGCTGTTTAATCGGCGCTGCAACTTTCACGATATCGATTTCATATTTGTGTAATAAATGGACAGAAGGTACTCGCGCGTTCGCAAGACATATCTGAGTCGGTGAAATGTGAAAGGATGCTTAATATTAATGTATTGAAACGTATTTAATAATGATATTATCGATTAATTTATGATATTAAGGTTATATTTATATAATAGCATTATCGATTTATTTATTTTATTAGTTTATCATACTAAAATATATTTAATAATAGCATTGTTGATTGATTTATTATATTAAGATATATTTAATGATAGTATTATTAATTAATTCATTACATTGAAATATATTTAATAATGGTGTTATTAATTAATTCAATATATTAAAATATATTCAATAATAGCATTATTAGCATTAATAATAATTATTAACAATAATAATAGCATTATTATTACAGTTTAGTATAATAAATATATATTGAAAAATAATATTACCAATTAATTCATTATATTAAAATATATTTATTAATAGTATTATCGATTAATTCATTATATACTAAAATATATTTTAGAATAGTATCATTGATCAGTTTAGTATAATAAGATATATTTAATAATAATATTATTGATTAATTCATTATTCTAAAACTATATTGAATAATAGTATTACCGATTAGTTTATTATAATAAAATATATTTAACGGCGATATTATTCATTAATTGATTCCGTTGAAATATATTTCATATACTCGACGATTCAACGGATTTCTCCGTGAAACATTAAACGACAAAATTTTGGAGTCGTCAGTTTCGAATTCGGAGCAATCCCGAAGCGTAAAGGAACCGATGGCAATGATTACGCTCGTGTTATCGTAGTTATTAATACATATTAAACGTAACCCTATTCGAACCGTCAAGGTCCCTCCATCATTATTCACCGTCCCCGTCTTATTCGGAGCTTCGGTCAATAAACCAGATACGCGCGGAATTCGTACTCAAATACACCTACTTGCGTTTCGAAGGAAAACAAATACGGTCATTCGATGCATATCACATTTTCCTACCGTCTCGCTTGCTGCAGCAACCCGTGGATAACTGGATTCTTTAAAACGATAATTACATAATCAAGAGAACACACGAGTGAACACAGGGAAAGGTGAAATAGGTGAACGAAAAGAGAGTCATCCAATTTTCTCGTTCTTTCCTATTCGTATTTATGTTTGCATAAAATATAGAAAAGTTCACAGTGTTCTGCGCGAACGTTGCTAAATTATTATATTCATTCATATAGATTTATTATTCATAACAGATCATATAGATATGATCATAATATGATTCATAATTAGATCATATAGATTCATATAGTAATGCAGTAATTGTTATATTTTGGGAAACTACGAAACGTGAACGTAATTCAATGTATTCTGCAAAAGTATAAGAGAACATTTATCATTTTATTAATATCTTTTTAAAATATTCTATACTCTTCTGTCACGTCCGTTTAATAAACAATTTTTCATATTTGTTTTCATATTTAATCATTTGTTTGTTCATATTTATTGGTATTTGTTTAACGATAATTTAATACACTATTATATTACCTATATTCTGCATATTATATAATATTATAATATTATTATTATTACTATAGATATTATAGAAATAATATTATTATTATCTATAGTAATATAGATAATATTATTACTATATATTAATCCATTATATATTATTGAACAAATATGAATAAATAATTATATAATATTATACATATAATAGTATATATCATATTATTACATATTATTATTATTATATTGTTATTATTACATATTATATATACTATTATATACATAATACTGTGAAACATAACGCGCAATAACATTTACTTTCGTTTTCAACGAACACAGAGATCACTCTTTAAACAATCGTATCCGCGACTTCGACTCTTTGCTCATCGGTTCATCAGAATTCAGCGAATTCGATGAATTCGTCCCATACAGTTGATTAATAATAACAATATAGGTTGCACAAGAGCGATGTAAAAAGGAATTTCACCGGGTGCAAGCCAGGAAAAGAGTCATCGATCTATTGATAACTCGATTAATCATCGTTATTAGGTGGCTGGCCGAGGGAGGAGGCGAAAAAGGAGTTCGAGGTAGCCGAAGAGGCCGAGAGGGTGCTTGAACTAGTCGAAACTCTGCCCGCCGAGGAAGACATGCACGCGGCGAGCACCAGCGACAAACACTTCTCCTCGGAGAAGATGTCCGAGGCGGGTGGCGAGAATCAATCGGTGCTTACCAAGATGTCGCAGACGATCACCGAGTCATCGACTACCCATACGACCACGAAAAAAGAGTTTATCTCGTCGACGATGTCCTCGACATTGGCGAAGGCCGGACAGGAGCCGACCAGCGTCTGCCTCAAAACCACCATTCACAGCACTGCCCAGTCGTCGTCGGAGAATGGTGCACCTCCTGTTATGCAGGTACGATTTTCTCGGATACGATTGTGTCAGATATATATTGCAATTTAAATTTTGATTAAAAAGATATTTCACTTTTTACCAAATATTCGTTATTATTTAATTTTAAAGGAAAATTATTATTGGAACCGATTTTACTCCTTTGTTAAAATCAACTAATTTTTATTATACATTTTTTTTAGAATTTTTCTATTATAAATTCGTTGTATTTTAATTCCTAGTATGAATCTGTTGTAATTACATTTCTCGTATAAACCTGTTATAATTAAATTTCTAGTATAAATCTGTTATCATTAAATTTCTAGTATAAATCTGTCACCATTAAATTTCTATTATAAATCTATTATATAATTAAATGTATATTCTAA